AGTTTCCTCGCTGACTTTACCCGCGTAGTCATAAAAGCTGATAAAAGAGAAAAAAAAAATAAAATAGATCACATTCATGCATCAGGTTCATCATGTTTTTTTCTACCACAGGCCTGCAGTAACATCCAGTCTAGTCAGAGGGAGCCACCTACTGTTAGATTAAATGACTATTAGCAGTGAGTGGAGAACAGCTTTATTAAATATACACCCACTGACATTTCAGACATTGTTTTGCTTGGAAAAATAAAGCGTTTATTTAAATAATTTTAGCCGAATTACTGCAGAAGATTATCAGGAAGTCTGCAAGTAGCAGATCATCATTGGAGGTTTAATTTAAAAAGGTTGTTGCTTACCTAAACAACTGCCCACAGGGGTCATGGTTATGGATTTCTGGAAGGGGAAGAACAATTTGTTTCAGTAACAAACAATCATGAATATATTCTTTCATCTTAATGCATTGTCCTACTGCAGGACTGAGTGTGGAGAACAGGTAAGAAACAGAATAGATAGTAGATAATTTCACATTTATCATGGAAGTTGTGTCATCAGCCCGTATTAAATGCTTTCCAGAAGCACCAATACATTTGACATATCAGTAGATTTCTGTCTAAACAAGAATTGTTTATTACATTTTCTTAATCTAGTTCCCACACACCAAGTTTGGCACATAAGAAAGCTTACATGAAAGCTTTAAATGGTCTGAATTATTTTTGCAAAAAAGGGCACTTTCTGCTTTGCTTGCCTGAAATTTGGTTAAAGTCTCAGGTACCATCAATTAATGAATTATTGAGTCAGTAAATGGCTAAGAGTCCTGAGCAAGCTCCAAAAATGTAGAAAATATATGTAGAAAACTGGGAAATAGACCTCTGATCCTAGATTGGCCCGTGCATTTGACTTAACATATTTGACAAAATGTAGATAATAAACTACTAGTGACATTGTCTTTGTAAGGAGCAGCTTTTACTAGGAATACAGAAGTTTAGAACTTTGACACAGAAGGTGGCAAATCGAAATTAGTTACCATTAATTAAGTAATTCAATGTGACACTATTGGTCTAGCAAAATTTCTTTAGAAAAAAATCCATACTGATAAACTTTGACCCAGTAACTGTGTTTTAAGGAATGTTGACTCGCATAAATGAGTTCATATATGTATTAATAAGCAATGTTTTAATTGACCAGTGCTTACCTACAACCTGCACCAGCTCCGAACTGCTAATTTGTGTGTCACTGATGCTGACCGTCTCTTCCTGCCTTACATCCCCTAATAGGAAGCCTTCCTGTAGAAGAAAACACATTTTAAGAAATTGTATTGGAGGCACAAATATTGAGTTTGCAAAACAGTGAGATCAACAAGTTTTTCAATAAAAAATAAAATAAAACCATGTTTATTGTTGCCCTTGAATTAAATTTTTTTTCAGATGTATTAAAATTTCCCACCTATCCCCGTATCTATCGTTGAAGCAGAGAGGAAAAAATGGCTTGTATTTATCAAAAGCTGCTGATCTGGACGGGCTTGGTTTAAATCGGGTCAAAGCCTCATGTCAAACCGCTTATAGCCATATGGTTTGACCTAAATACTAAGAAGACCAAAACTGAGTGCATCAAACCTGCAAAAAGGATGACGGTCCACACTGAGTCAGAATTTACAAAATGACTCAAAAGAACAAAACAAGTTGCTTAATTTAACCTCAAACAGTGTACAAATGTGATGACATCTTAACACAACAATCTATGAGAATAATTTTAATATGCAAAACTAAACAAAGTTGCAGCACAAATTAAATAATAAAAAAAAAACAAATTCAGGTTAACACTAAAGAAGTCATTAAGTAATGTTCCTTCTCATTTAAAGCAATCATTAATCACTTTACAGTCAAATTCACACCGAGTCCTGTGAAAGCATACTAACCCCTTTATTTAACCACATTTTTATGCAGCACTTGAATTTGTTACTTCACACACATTAATATACACCCTATATATACACACATACAGTTGTGCTTGAAATTCTACATACCCTTCCATTAAAGAACATTGTACATTCAATGTTTTTTTTAGAGAAAATTGGTGAACAAACAGCATCACAAGGATCAAGGAGCAGACCAAGCAGGTCAGATGAGATGAGGATAAAACTAAAAAGTTGAGATCACAAGCGCAGTTTGTGACAAGCTGTCTTAGGAAGCTGAATATATAAGAATGGAAATAAAACATATTTATACGTATTGTTGTTACTGTATAGACAAATAAGGTTGAACTTGTGCAAATAATGATATTAATCTGGCCGATCTGTTTAACGTTCATGTGACCACCTGAGGAAAGAATTTTTGTTCTGTTGTAGCTTGTTAAGAATAATGCACCATAGAACAAGACTGAAAGGTAAAAGATTAAACTAAAAGGTAGCAAACTCCAGTCCTGAAGAGCCGGAAGGATGAATGATGCAAGATGATGGAAAACTAAAGGCTAGAACACACCTGATACAATTTGGCATCTGACATGATGGAAAACTGGGTTATACCCCACTGTCAAGCATGAGGGTGACACAATCATGCTTTTGGGATGAGCTTTTTTTTCAGTGGGATCAAGGATGATGGTGAATGAGGAGCAAAAGATAGAAAATGATATACAAGAAAACCTTTTAAAAACCTGAAAGTAAAAAATAAAATAAAAACACTTGAGGCTGATGCAAATGCTTTACTTCCAGCATTAACAACAGTTTTCCACCCAAAGCCCTAAATCCAACTAAAACATTTGGTACTACTTGAAATCATTGTTCACCAAAGCTCTCCATCTCATTTAGTTTAAGTTATTTTTCAAAAAAGAATGGGAGGTAAAACAAAAAAATTGTTTCTACATATATACAAGTATTACCTACATATCCCAGAGACCTGCTGCTGTAGAAAAAGGTTGTTTTAAAATAACAGACTGAGGTGGATGAGTAGAAATGCAGGGCACACCTTTTTTTTCTTATATATATATATTTATATATATATATATAAAAAACAATATATATATACATAATATACTTTGTTTAAATGTTTAAAAGTCCAAGT